TCTAGGCCAAGCATGTCAAACTCAAGGGCTAACATTAGCCAAGTAAACAAGGTTTAAGTGTATGTGGGCTGCAAAACACAAAAGCTTCAATTTTCATTGAAACGTAGGTTTATTTCTTTAGAGACATGCTGAATACAAAGGGCTAAAATAAATGAGTTATTGTTAACATAAAATAATAGAACATTTTAATAAAAATTAATATTTTTCTTGAACATTAACTTACCAGACACTGAATAACTGCACCAACTAATAAATGTAACGCAAATAAACCTACTTTTCTTGTTCTCTGAAAGCAAATATTTCCTGTTGCACACACCAAACAAGTCAATCCAAGACTAATGACGTGACAATTGGCCACTAAAATATTCGCTGCTAGTATTAGTGGAGAGAAATAGTGTACCTGCATGTAAAGCACATGAGGGAAATGAATGCAACATGATTATAGTAATCAGTCATTAGTGAGCATCATAGTTCATTATTAATAATTACGTATAACAGGATATTGTAAAAATTAAGTTATTAAATTTTTATTAAAATGTTTCTTACATACCGTTATATTGACTGGGCCACAAAAATATTTGTTGGGGCCACATGAGGCCCAAGGGCCGAGAGTTTGACATACTTGCTCTAGACCTTGCGAACACAATTGTGAAAGACCCATTTCAATGACCTCGTGGTCAGCGAGCCTCAAGTGAGGTGCTGAGGGCCTGGCAAAGGAGGTTCCTGGGTCTGCCCCAATGGGTGACTTTAGCGTCCTGGATTGCAAAGGAGCTGCTCTTGTCCTGAGGCTCAACTCAGTCACTTCCTGTGATTTTAGTCAAGACACTTATTCTCTCTGAGACCCAGTTTCCTTTTGGGATAACTGACTTGTGGGGGCATTATGAGGATTGAATAAAATAAGGAATTCTGAGATACTAGCAAAAGGTACGTGATAACCACATACACAGCCCTTTAACCTGCCATACCAATCCCACCTGCTCCACAGCACCCCGTCATCTCTTTTAATGAGAACATGTGGGTCTTATGGGTTCTTAGGTCAGTAATAATCATGGCTGACACCCCGTGGGGGACTTCTTTGTAAGGTTGCTTCAACTCCCATGTCAGCAAAATGATCTCACCATTTAACCAAGTAATTCCATACCAGGTAATTCATCCTGGCAGAAATAATTCTCTGGAAGGAAAACCTCTCTGCTGAAGTTCATTGCAGCTCTCTTTATGAGGGTGAAATATTGGAATCATATTGCTTGTCCCAGAGAGGGAAATGGAATCATAAATTACAAAACATTCCCAAATGGAATATTACTCAGCCTTTAAAAATGATGGGTATGAACACTGTAGACATATGGAGAGATTCTTATTATGAAAGGTGAAATGGAAAAAAAAAAAAAAAAGCAAAAAGCACGTTATATCTGCGCACTTACATGAAAAATATATTTGCTTCTGGATACAGGAAAATAAAAAGCCAATCCATTTGGATGATGAGAATGCGAGTGAGTGTATTTTTTAGCATTTTGTTTTCTGCTGTTGCTCCACTGTTGTGCACTAACTACATTTTTTAAAGAATAAGGAGGAAAACCTGATACTTGCTCTAAAAGCTACTGAGCTGTAAGCAAGTTTCATTTGTGGAAGAATGCCTGGCACAGAGCAGATACTCAGGAAGTGTGGGCAGAAAGAAGAATGAATGAGCTGCCTAGAAACTACAAAGTCAGTGCTGATATACACGGATCGTGGGCCTGGCCACGGCAGCCAAGGTCAGAGCTATGGCTGTGTTTTATCTCAGGTTTGTCCAACCCTCTCCCCCTAGTCCCAGGTCTGAGAATATTTTCAGTAGTTGAATTAATAAAAGGAAATCAACACACACACACATGTTAGCAATTTACAGCACACACGTGAAGATATTTCACAAAGAGATGGGGCATATGAATGCCTGCGGCTGCTGTCTGAGGCACTTGTGTCCCCGGCTGAGCCAGCACCTGGTGGGGGTGGGACAAATGTTGAATTGATGGGGACCCCAGCCCAGGCATCCCGGGCAGACGAGAGCCTGATTCCGGGAGCCTCTACGGCAGAACCTTTGGCTGTCTCGGGTGCCAGCTCATGCATTGCCTGCAGTCACCCACCTAATGACGTCCTTACCCCAAAGAAAATGAAATCATTTGTTCTTGTGTGAACTATTAGGACTCCTCAACCCTGAGGGCTCACTTAGGAAGAGAGAAATCATTGCTGCAAGGAATCTCATATTAGAAACCGAATGGCTGCACCCAGCTTCTTCTGACTGATGGGAGGAAGCTATGTTGCCTCGAGATCTTGCTGTCTCATGGAGGGAACCCCAAAACCCCCCCACCCCGCCTGTCATCTCACTTTCCAAGTGACAAGGAGCTGACTCCCTCAAAGGATTTGTCTGCTTACATTAGTTCATAGTCTCCCTCTCAAAACCACCACCTCATCACAGATTCTGTTTTTATTATTATTTAATTTATCAGGGTAGCATTGGTTAACACTTGTATTGGTTTCAGGAAGGTATACAATTCTATAATACATCATCTGTATAATGTATTGTGTGGTCACTACCCCAAGTCAAGTCCCCTTTCACACCTCTAGGTTCTTATCATTGGTGTGACTTTGTCTCTTCCAAAGACACGAGAAAGTGATGATTTTTGAAGATGTGCCTGGGGAGGCAGTGTCTCCTACTGAATACACTGCAAGAACTGTCCTCCCTCACAACGGTTGTCCTCACAGCTCAGTGGCAGACTTGCTCTGAGGCTTAGATAGGTTAATACAAACAAGACTGTTAGGAAAGTCCTGGCACAGGGTAAGCCCTCAATAAATATTAGCTTAAAAGGTGCTGAAAATCAATTTAGATATATGTGCATATAAAAAGAGAGGTAAATAAGATCACACCTAAGGAGATAATGATTCTACTTTCAGGAATGTTTACTAAGAAAATTCTCATAGATTCATGTGTAGTTGAAAAATTTATGTGTAAAAATGGTCATAAGAACATTGTAATAGAAAAAAAGAAAAAAGAAACCCGGAAACAACCTAAATGTCCAACAAAAATGGAACAAGTAAGCAAACTATGCCACTTTCAAAAAGCAAATTTTTGAAGAGTTGTAATGCTATAAGAAATTATTATGCCATGTGAAAACCATTCACATAATATGGCCTCCGTTATAGACACTCCACATAAGTATCCATGAAAAACATACCCGGATAAGAAAAGGTTAGGAGGAAATACTCCAAATATTACTTGTGTGGTTTTCTGAATAGTGAGAGTTTTTATTCACTTGGGCATTTTTCAGATTGTATACATATGACTAGCATGTATTAACTCTACAAGTAAACAAATTAAATAAGAAACATATACGAGTCTATTACAATACCACCAACATAACTACATAGAGATATGGCCCTAGACTAGCCCAGCAGCAGAGGCAGTGGGGATACTCCTGATGGCCTCAGGGGATTGCCAAGGGGACCAGAAGGGCATTCCAGGACGCTCTAAGCTTCCTAGCTGGAGAAGTTGCATGGGCGAATGATGGTGTTACAAACCACAATAGGAAATGTAGACCGAAGGATGAAGAATGGGTGGGGAGGAACGAAACCAACCCAGTTTGGCCTCTCTGGGTGTGCAGTGGCCAACGTGTCCCCAGATAGAGATGCCCAGCCAAGAGCTGGCTCTGCACGGGGTTGACGCTTGGGGGAGGGGTTCTAGTGGGTGTGGGCGACAGCACTGAGCCCTCCAAACCAGGGTGTGGCTGAGGAGGATCCGATGTTCTGTGTGCTCTGCGACGGGGACATCCAGACAGTCATGGTGGCTCAGACACGCAAACTCCAGAGCTCCACTGGTTCCACCCAAAATGTGACCCAAAGTGGTCCTGCCTCCCTCCATCGCGAGGCTACTGCTAGGTTCCAGCGAAGAGCCCCGCAGATTCACTGCCACGGAAATGCAGTTTGGCGCTGCAGCTACTGCTTCCTGTGAGGACTGGAGACCATGCTCAGCATCAGCCACATGAAACTTGCTGCTGTGTGGGAACGGTGCTCAAGACAATGCAGAGGCCGCCTGGCGACCTTTTTACAGCAACCCATAAGGAAACTGTTTGGGGCTTCAGGGTCAGGAGAGGGTGAGCAACTAGGCGCCATGAATCCTATAACTGCTCCTGTTTCCCTTTTTGCTTCGGCCAGGAGGAAGCTCAGAATAAAATCTGTGGCCCATCTGCAGCAGCCTGCTAGGATCACATACTGTGCGTGTTAGGGTGCTCATCTATTTACAGTTTCTGTCTTTGTAAAGGTTTCACTGGCTTTATTTTCTCTTCATTTCTATGTCTTCCACCATGAATTTTTGTGAACTACTTAAAGTAAAAAAAAAAAAAAAAAATTCTTCCATGTCATGCCCATCCATCGATTCCTAATTCTCCCAGCTAAATCCAGAGTAAATACATAGAAGACAGAATTGGCCTGGGAGGGCAGCTGGGATACATTTTCACAGAAAGGATTTCACAGATCAAAAATACCAAGTGCTGGATGCTCTGCTCTCCTTATTTTAACCACACAGGCCTACGTAGCTGCTAATTATATGCCAGACACAAGAGAGACGTGAGTTTCAATCCCGACTCTACCACTTACTGGCACTGGGGTTTTGGGTGAAATCCGTGCCCTCCTGAGCCTCTGTCCCTATTGCCTCTCCCATATCCCCACTGTCCTCCCATTACTCTAGCTGCTGGCAGGCTGGCCCTCGGGTCCCCGGGATGGCAGGATGAAGGAGGGCCCTCTCCCCCTCGGTGCTGGGTCCTCCTAGGCCACCCTCCATCCCTCCCAGGAGAGAAGTGCTCGTCCTCCTGGAAACGTTCTTTGGGGCTCCCCGGAGCTGCGGTTCAAGACTATCTCCATCCCCTCACGGGAACCCCACAGGCCGGGGTTCCGCAGGGCCTCTGGGCCGTCCCAGAGCCAGCAGAGGTGGGAGAGACGCCAGGCTAAGCACCGTCCCTCATCTTCTATTGCAGAGCCGCCTGGAAGGGGAGCTCGCGCTGCCAGGAAAAATGAAACGTTGCAGGAGACGAAGACCAGGTTCCTGCTCTTTGAGGGGGAGACGGATAAGGGCTGTCAGATCCAGCTCCGCCGCCCGGACACGCTGCAGCAGTGCGGCTTCAACGCCTCTCTGCCGCTGGTGATGATCATCCACGGGTGGTCGGTAGGAAATGCTGACACATCTTTCTGCTCTCTGCTCCTCTTACATTTTCTTTTTTTTCCTCCCTCCCGCGTGCGCTCGGCTCTAATAAAAAGATAGGGAGCTGCTGATAACGGCTTCATGCATAATAATTTTCCTAAAGCACATTCTAATTTTCCGAGTGCTTCCCCACACAGCATCTCACTGATGATCTCGATTCCATGAGTAAGCAGGGAGGGGAAACGATCGTGATCTCCCCGTTTCAGGTGATGGGATGTGACTCAAGGAGGGCCCACCGGGGCTGCGGTCCTTGCAGGTGAAGCTTCATGTCTCGCAAGAGGAGGGAGGCAGCCACGGACATTGTCTCTCAATGAGATGCTGTCTCTGTCAGCGTCAAGTTCAGCTGCAAAAAGCAGACACCCAACTGGCAGTGGTTAAAATAAGCCAGGAATTTGTTTCTGTGTCACATAACAACTTCCAATAGATATGGAATCCAAAACTGGGAAATGGCCTTGGTCAGGACCCAGCTCATGGCCTTCAATGCAGCCCTCGTCCCCGTAAGTCCCAGACAGCAGCTGGAGCACTAGCAGTCACCTCTTTACTCCAGATAGTAAAGGGTGCGTACCAAGGAGTCAATGAGCAGGGCTTTTCAACAACAACTTGATTGAGATGTCATTCACATTCCATACAATTCATCCATTTCAAGTGTACGATTCAGTGGCTTGGGTATAAAAGAGTGCTCTTTTAGGTCGGCCATCTGTGAAGTGCCTCTAGTCGCACCCATTGGCCATACCCCGAAGGCTAGGTGGCTGAGACATGTGTGGCCTCTCAGAGAAAGGGTAGCCCTTTGGTGATGCTAAGACTGCTATTACTGTGGAAGAGAGGGGGCGAGTATTGTGGGCCATCACTGAAGTCAAACTAAGTGAGGCCTCACCCCAAAGGAAATCCTGACTCCCTGGTTACCAGCCCCCACCCCACCCCCAGCCCCCACAAATTCAAGCTAAATGCACCGTAAGAAACCTCCAGGACTTGGGGAACTAGTTTATGACTTGGAAACCTTTCCCTGCCATCTAGTTGGAAACACTCCTGAAACCCTCACTATCTGCTCTAGAGAACAACAGAGGCCCATCGGCCACACCACTTTCAACATGCTTCTCTGAGAGCCTGCCACGTGCAGGCTAACACCCTCACATGAACCAAACCGACCCCGTGCCTGGCCTCCGGGGGCAGTAGAAAGCCACATGCCCCCACGTGGGTGCAGCCGCAAGGTGGGGTGGCTTCTATTGCCACCCCAGAATAGCACAGAGGCTCCTGCAGCCCCCCAGCAACTTCCCCCCAGGATTTAAAGGGTCCCTGTAGAGAAATGGGGGTTGGGAGTGAAAGCGGTGGGGGACTTGTCTGCCCTTAGAGAAGGGACTTAACATAGAATGAGGCCCATGAGCTACCTCCAAGGCTGGGGAAATCTTTACTAAATGAATGGATCTTACCCCCGAGGACATGCCAATCCCTCAGCTTTGCTCTTCGCCTCTGTGGGCTAGTCTTCCACCACACCTTCCTCCCCTTCTCTCCCCGGGCACACCGCACTTTCCCTCTGCGGTTCCAAACCTCTGCCCGTGCTCTTCCTTCTACCTGGAACGCCCTAGATACCTCCCCCTCCACCACCACCATGTCCACTGCCACCCTCATTCTTCTCAGAGAACGCCTAGTTGTCCTTTAAGGCTCAGCATACATGTCTTTGCTCTGTGAACCCATCAGAAGTGCCCTGCAAATTGGTTCTCAAACAAGGCGCATACATAGAACCACTCCCCGTGAACATTTATTGAGCTCCTTCTATGTTCTGGCTCAGGGTGTTAGTCCCTCTAAAGCAAGCAGGGCGCAGTGAGGGGGGGACCTGGGAAGGACTCAGAGGTACAGCAGAGCAGGCGTGAGGGAGGGGCTGGTGTGGCAGCCGACCATGGAAGGAAAAGTCCACCTTGAGGACCCGATTAACACAAATGTTTCCATTGTTTCAAGGCTTTTATTGAATCCTACAATAGGGAAATGCTAACACAATGGTTCTCAGTTAGAGGTTGGAGGTGGTAGCCCCCAGGAAATATTAGGCAAAGTCAGGGGAATTTTTGGTTTTCCTAACTGGGGGCAGAGGGTGCCGCTGGCATCTCAGATGGAGGCCAGAGATGCTGCTAAACCTCCTACAATGCACGGGGCAGCCTACAGCTACAAGCATGTGGCCCCCGATGTCCTTTTAGTGCTGAGGCTGGGCAAACCCTTACCGAGCCCTTTCTCCTGGAGAGAAGGGCTCAGCGTGAGGCGCGCGTTGGAGGAGAAAAGGAGGTGGATAGGGAGGAAGAGACATCGCGCCCTCCTGGTGGTGCTGACTGCCCTGTGGGCCCACGGCAGGTGGACGGGCTGCTGGAGGAGTGGATCTGGCAGATGGTGGCCGCGCTGAAGTCCCAGCTGGCCCCGCCGGTGAACGTGGCGCTGGCAGACTGGATCACCCTGGCCCACAACCACTACGCCATCGCCGTTCGCAACACCCGCATCGTGGGCCAGGAGGTCGCTGCACTTCTGCAGTGGCTGGAGGTAAGACCTGCCCAGCCTCCCTGCCTCTCCCGTCCCCTCCCGGCCAAGGGCATAAGTTGGTCTCCAACCTCAGCCCCGACAGGAGAGCCTTTCTGACATACTCACAGGAATGGGACGGCCCCTTGAACCCCATCCCCATCCCCAGTTCTTCTCCCCCCCCACCCCACCCACTGTTCCTTTTATGTTCAGTCCTTGGACACCCTAAGGCCGTGGTCAGCAAACTGTGGCTCTCGAGCCACATGCAGCTCTTTGGCCCCTTGAGTGTGGCTCTTCCACAAGACACCACAGCCTGGGTGAATCTATTTTGAAGAAGTGGCATTAGAAGAAGTTTATGTTTTAAAAAATTGGCTCTCAAAAGATATTTCAATCGTTGCACCGTTGATACTTGACTAATGAGTTTGCCGACCGCTGCCCTAAGGGACCTGAACACACCCGGGCAACCACCTAACCCCACACACAGGAGCAGGTGGGTCGCTTCTGCAGGAGACTCATATTCGGGGAAGACAGGCAGGCAGGCAGCGGCAGCACCTGGCAGGGTCCAGGCCGCTGAGCCTGAAAGGAGGGAGGAGGGTGTCCGCAAGGAGAGCACCCAGAGCAAGAACGAGCAACTCGCTTGCGATCAGGCACAAAGCACAGGGTGGGAGCCTGAACAAGCTGCCCCCATAGAGGCCTCTATCCAGGCAGCTCTCCCCTGCCTGCAGCCGTCTCCCCTGCCTTCCAGGAATCGGCTCCGTTTTCCCGAAGCAAGGTTCATCTCATCGGGTACAGCCTGGGCGCGCACGTCTCGGGGTTTGCTGGCAGCTACATCGGCGGGAAGCGCAAGATTGGGAGAATTACAGGTAACAGCGCCTGTCTACCAACTGTCATCTCCAACGGTGCTGGGCGTGGGGCACCCACACGCCTTCCAACAGTCTCATAAAGAGCACGCCCAACCTCCCTGGCGCTGTGTTGGGGTTCACGGGAGGACGGGGAGCACCGTTTGAAACGTAAGCACTGCCGTAGGCGGCTGTTCAAAGAGAATGCGGAAATCACAGCCTCCACTCCCACTTCCTTCCCGCAAACAAATGCCTCTTATCGTCAGGACATAAGGGTCAGAAAAGTAGGCCTTCCGTACACTTTGGTAGCAGGAAAAAGTTTCTTTTTCAACCAATGGTTTAAAAAGCCTCACGTGGACCAGTTAAAAAATCACAGCCCTGACTCCGCAGGAACATCAGCTACGCTTGTGCCTCAGTGTCCACATCTGGGAGACACGTTGGTCTTCCTCTGGGACCCATCCGCATTGAGGGAGGAAGCTCTGAGCCAAAACTTCACCCTGAGCTCTACACAAACTCCGAGGTAGCCCTGGATGCCCAGGAAGAGGTAAAAATGTGCAAGAAGGCCTCTCCTCCCAGGTGCTCCTGACACCCGCCTCACTCCCCAGGCTGCCCCAGAGTCACATCAGGAAAACACGCCTGTCAGATGGTTCCCCCGGCCAAACCCCGAGGCCAGCGATTCCTACAATGGCCCGGGCAAGGCCTTCTCAGCGCAGTGTCCCCAGACCTCCAAGGTCTCTTCCGGCAGTTCCCTTCCTGTCATTCTAGGCTGCCTTAGCACAAGACTTCTCTCCACTTTACAAACACGCTGTGGCCTCTAGTGCTTCTGGGCCTTTGCACGTACTGTTGTTCCCTTTGCCTGGAATAGCTTACCGCCACTCATCCTCCCAGCCCTAGTCTATCTCAAACTCGTACTCATCCTTCAAGACCAAGCAGGCTAAAACCACATTCACGGGCTAAAACAATCCAAAGGACATGTAAGATGAATTGCATTACTATGACCTTTTATTTTATCAAGTAAGAAGATTTTTAGCAACTACTACCTACTATCATCATCTATACATATAAAGAGGTAATATGCTAATTGTCCATTACGGTGTCCCAGTAACCAATTTGCATATTGACAAACCAGCAGGTGAGTGTGAAATAGGGGGACTTGCATGAGGCTTGCTTTCCTGCCCCTGGCACCGGAGTCCTCTTGGGCCTAAACTGGCAGCTGAACATCCCCTAAGGGCTCCTGCATTGGAGAGGGTACAGGTCAGGCTGAGGGACGCCCCCACCCCCACCCTGTGCACGAATTTCGTGCACCGGGCCTCTAGTTACTTCATAAAAGAAGACATTTAATTTAGTATGAAAAAAAGATATGGATAATGGCAGACATGTGAACCAAATAAATTTGTCATTATGAGAGTCCTTTTTGTTTTCTTTTTCATCTTGCTGGTGACCTGAAGGCTGAGTCCCCAAACCAATCATTGTGCCCCCCCACGCCTGTGATGTAACATCAGCAGCCTGGCTGTGAGCAGACCCTCCCTCCACAGGAACCAGGCCTAAAGGCTGAGCCAGAACCCCAGAGTCCGGTTCAAGCCCTCTTCATTCCGGGGTCATGGGCACATCAGCGTGCGCCAGGCCCACACGTCAGGGGCAGCTGATTCCTCTGTTGGCATCTTGCAGGCAGCCTGATGGAGACGGGAACATAAATCACCCAGACATTCTGTTTGTCACTGCAGAGTCCTGGGGAACAGGCGCTCTCAGGCCTCCTACCCATCCCTTCCAGCAAGGATGAAGGCCGGGCTGATGTGGGACATGACAGGGCCCTCCAGAGAAGGTGAAGGAAGAAGGAGAAAATGTGCATAAGTACCCCCCACCTGGGGTCAGCCTGGAGCTGCCACTCGTCCCCGGCAAACTCATCTGGCCCTGGAGGCCCACCGCTCGGCAGCTCTATCTGCTCACAGTCTCCTCACCCGGGAACGTGATGTCCGAGGCTGCGGGGGACAGTCCAGTGAAATGACATGAATGTAGGAGAAAAGCCAGCTTGTTTAGAAAAATTATTGACGACATGCTGGCAGATAAATTCGTGTTCAATGAGTAGGCAAGAGCTACTTACCAGGAGCACAGTGGGGTTTTTTTTGTATGCAAACAGATGCTCCTGAAAGTGGCTTGAGAGGTACTTAAAATTGATTTGCTTAAATAAATCAAGCATTCCCTCATAACCTGATTTCCACCCCTGGAAAGCTCCTGCAAGCCTCTTTTCCCCATAGATAATGCACAGCCTGTGTTCAATTTTCAGCACCATGAATTACTGCGGTTTTACTGAGCAAAGGTTGTGGCAAGATTTCCTAGAGAAAGATTAGGCCCGAGGATTTTCTCCTTCCTGCTACTCATGAATGTGTAACAGCATGAAAAAGTTGGAAAAAGCACCTCTCCTCCCCTTCCCAGCGCCATTAAACCTTGCCCTTGCTCTCCGCCAGGGTTGGACGCTGCCGGCCCTCTGTTTGAAGGAACCTCCTCCAACGACCGTCTTTCACCAGATGACGCCAACTTTGTGGACGCCATCCACACCTTCACCCGGGAGCACATGGGCCTGAGTGTGGGCATCAAGGAGCCCGTCGCACACTACGACTTCTACCCCAACGGGGGCTCCTTCCAGCCTGGCTGCCACTTCCTGGATCTCTACAAGCACATCACCAAGCACGGCCTGAACGGTGAGGAGGGAGGTGCGGCCCGGAGCACTGACCTGCGCTCTCACGGCTCACATGGGGCCTCTGGACGCAGCGGAATCTGCCCACTGTGTGGACTCTGGGAAGCACCGGGCAAGGATGGGGGCCCAGGGTGTGTGCTCACCCAGTCCTTTCAGAGGGGGGCTTGTGGCAGTGAGTAAGGGCCGGTGTTCCCCAGCAAACCCTCCTCTGTTTAGACAGAGGTCCTTAGAGCCCAGGCTCTGAGGATGAGCTGAGGGCACCACCAGGAATCCCCGCCCTGACCCCCACTCGGTGCAAAGTCTCTCCTCGGGTGGTGGTCCTTCTGAAAGTGGAGTCCCGATGCCTATGGTTATCCTACCTGCTCCAGACCCTCCCTCGCTCAGGCGGCTCTCACTGCCCTGGCTCCCCGTGAGGATCCACACAATAGTCTGGGATTTCCCCATCCCTGGTCTCACAAGAGTGGGAATCCTCCTCCCACCGGTGAGGTGTAACCAGCCGGTCCTCCCGGACAGCATGGAGGGTCTTCCCGTTCGGAGTTCGACTCTAAACACGTCCTCGTGACTTCCTTTGGCTCAGGGCAAACCCCGAGTGTGGCGTTTTCTGCGTTGTGAGCCCACGTCTCTCTCCAATCCAAAACATTAGCATGCACACTGATAACATGCACAGGATCAAAAAACGAAACTGTCAGCAAATACCACACTTGCCATAAACGTTCCCAATGTCTCATTATTATAAAATATTATCCTAATTAAAGCATGCCTGCTCACTGAAAGCCAGCTGGCGACGCCCACCCCCGCAGACCACTGCCTCACCCCGATCATCCGAAACCCCGCTGAGAACCTGCTCTCTGTGGGTGCGTCACCACCACCTCTCCCGTATCAGGATGGCCTTTACTGTCCACATTATCTCATCTTGGCCGGATGCCCGGCCTTCCAGCCACCCACGCCTGAGAGAACCTTCTGGACACTTGCCCTGCCAATCCCTACATCTCCCTGGAGTTATCGCCCCTCCATGCTGCCCTCCTCCCCCCAAGCTAGCCCTCCCCCCAGACCCACCCCTCCCGGAGCGCAGCACAGACCCCCAGGATGGCACTGAGCAGCAAGCAGCCTGAGAAGTGCCTCTCTGACCAATGAGCGCTATTGGCTCTTGTGCTAAATTTCAAAGTGATGGGACCGAGACCATTTACTTAGCTTGCCTATCCTTGGCGTGGTTCTTCTCTGTGTTCTTCATCCTTCTGGTGGAGAGGGATGCCATTCTGGAATGGCTCTCAGCACCATCGCTGGGAAGAAGGGAAGCTGATCATTGCTCTACCATCCTCACCACCTGGGTGAGGCCGGGTGAGCTCAGGGAAGTTCATGAATGTCTTCACCGGTAAATGCTGCCTCGAGGGGCTGCGTGCAGAGGCAGGAGGAGAGGCAGGAACTGTGTGAAGACGCAGGGAGTGGCTGAGCAGGGGACACTCGGCAGAGCACCTGCCACATCCTAGGTGCTTGGCCCACGCAGCCACTAGGGATCAAGAACCGAGGTGATGCCGAAACCGGTTTGGCTCAGCGGTAAAGCGTCGGTCTGCAGACTGAAGGGTCCCAGGTTCGATCCCGGTCAAGGGCATGTACCTTGGTTGCGGGCACATCCCCGGTAGGGAGTGTGCAAGAGGCAGCTGGTCGATGTTTCTCTCTCATCGACGTTTCTAGCTCTCCATCTCTCTCCCTTCCTCTCTGTAAAAAAAGAAATCAATAAAATATATTAAAAAAAAAAAAAAAAAAAAAGAACCGAGGTGACGGCTCTCCAGGAAAGAGCTTTGGGCAAAGTTACCTGTGCTCTGCCTTCCCATTAGGTACTTCCCAGGCCTAGTGCTGGCTCCTCAACATTCTTTGAGCATCATTTACTAAAGATGAGGGTATTGGAAACTTCAGGGGAAGAAAATAAAAGGTAGCGAAATGCTTGCTGGAGGGGTCAGGGCGGTAAGGACCTGGTCCCTGGGGTGTGTTCTCTGGAAACCCATCCCCGAGCTGGTGTTCCAGGCCAGTCACCCAGGGACGCAATGGTTGTTTCGGGGCAGAAGGGAGACGGTCAGAGTGGGCTCTCAAAGACCCTTCATGGAGCCACTAGTGCACCGCCCTTTAGTAAGAGCAGCGGCAGCTCACTCAAGTCTCCCGGCTGACGCACCACCGAGGCATCAGCATGTGCATTTTCAACCATTTGAGAAAGAAATGTTTCCAGTGGAATTATGTTATCCTGCTTTCTTAAATAATCTGTTATTTTCTTAGTGACTTGGAGTTCCTTTCAAAACACCTACCGTATGTAGCGCACTGTGGTCGCTGGTGCCTGGGACTAAGCCTTCGCACTAAGCTAAGGTGACCAGACATCCCGCTTTTTTTCTTTCCAAAAATCAGGATTTTTTTTTAAATGCAGCGGGACACGGGACAAATGGACTGTCCCCCCAAAAGCGGGACGTCTGGTCACCTTACACTAAGTGACTGAGAGGGGGTCCTCTTTCTAACATTTTTGACCACTTAGGACATGCACCACTGTCAGCAGCACCCCTCCCCATCCTAACATGCTGCTACTCGGCACTGAAGGGACGTTGGATTCGAGGTTGCTGACGTCCTTGTTGCCCTGTGTTCCAGCCTTTGCCCAGACCATAAAGTGCGCCCACGAGCGGTCGGTGCACCTCTTCATCGACTCCCTGGTGCACCCCGACCAGCAGAGCACGGCCTACCTGTGCAGCGGCATGGACAGCTTCAGCCAGGGCCTGTGCCTGGACTGCAAGAAGGGCCGCTGCAACACGCTGGGCTACCACACCCGGATGGGTGGCAAGAGCAAGAAGAGCAAGCAGCTCTTCCTGGTGACGCGAGCCCAGGCCCCATTCAAAGGTGAGTGCGGGCACTCGCCCACAGCCTCCGTGTTACCGGAGGGCCGAGAAGTTCCCCGGAGTCTTTTCCTGGAAGGGCTTCCGGTTCTATCTCAGTGTTTCTGAAACTGAAGATTCCATACAGTGATACTGACAAGGCCTCTCCTCTCCTAAGAATGTGGCCCCGGTGCCAAGTGCTAAAAGAAAAGCCTGAACGGGAACAATCCGTGCTGGTGTTCCAGGCCCGTTACCCCCTGGTCTCTCTTCATCCATGTCCAGGGTGCCCTGCAGGGATGCCTGGACCACCCAGGTCTCTTTGTCACTGGGACCTGGTGGTATCTCCGAATCCTGGCTAGGACCCAGTGCTTTCCTCTGCCCTGGCCCCCATGAGAAACATAGCTCCGGGCTACACGTGTGGCTCCTCTGTTCCCCAAAAGTTTGAATGAGCTGATGTCACGGGAGATCATGGCCCGGTGGAGGCCTTGCCAGGATGAAGTTCAGCTGCCAATGTTGCCCAGTCAGAGCCTCACCTCGGGCAGAAACCAAGCCTCTGCCCTTCCCTGGGTTGAACGGGAGGTCAGAAAAAGGGCTGTGGCCACGGCTTGGGCTGCTGCCAGCAGAGAAATACTTTGGCGAAGCCTACATTTTCCTGGAGGGACCCAGGCGGCATCTGTTGCCATTCACATTTCTGCCTAATCCCTAAACCAGCTCAAGAGTGAGTTAGCTTATGTTCATCTGCGCTGGGAAGGGGGAGGGGGGTCAGTAGGGGAGGGGGGTGATGGGGGCAGGGAACCTGTGTTATATGGTTTGATTGCTTCCATGCAAATATTTGTTCCTGCAGAAGATGAATGCATCGTCACCATCATTTTGCATTTGCGCAGCATCTTATGCAAAACGTGAGATGCAGCCATGGATTCCTTGTGGCTCCCACATCAGCCAAGCAAGTTGGCCGGGCTTGTTGCTCTATGTCCCGTTTTAAAAGGAGAGCAAAACCCGGATGGAGAGACCTGCCACAGCCTGGAGGGAGGCCTAGCACCAGGCACATCTGGCTCCCAGTCCAGAGCTCCATTCAGGCTTCTAAGTTCAAGCTCCCAGCGCTTAATTACTAGGTGCAGGATTCCTCTGCTTATCTGAACGTGGGCCCTCCAGTCAGGTTTCCCTTCCCGGGGCCCAGCCAGCCTAGGAACCACAGAAATCGCTGTGGGTGGGTGGTAGCTTCTCAGAGTGCTTAGAGTGAAGACAGGATCTTGACCACCTGAGGGCAGAGGGTCCCATCCGCCCCCATGCCTCGCTGGTGGAGGGGCCTGTACCTGCGAGCAGGTGAGGGAACGTGGACGGCCTCCTGCTTCCGGGAGCTCCCCCGCCACAGGCCACAGGTCTCCAGGGAGACATCCGTTTGGATTAACCAGCTCCTCCTTTACATGGCAAAGCCACCTGGAGTGATTAAGCCTCTCTGATCCTCACAGTTCACTGGATCCACTTTAATCCTGGAATACGGGCATTTCGAGGGGCTGTTCAACCCGCCAATTTCACAGACAGGGAAACCGAGGCCCAAATGGGGGAACCATTTGCCCAGGACCGCCCAGTGGGTCCTTGGCAGCTCCAGCATTCAGACCAGACCAGCAAAAGGTAACTATGCCGCACATCCCGAGTGGAGCCGGGACAGGGCGCCCCTGAGTGCCACTTCCCTCCCCTCCGCGCTGCCTCATCTGGCTGCCCCCAGGACTAATTAGATACAAGGAGGACTTACTCAACGCGGATTCGCTTCCCACCCCTTCTCTTAAGAAACTGGCTCCAAACTGGTAAAGACTCCTCCTGAGAGAGTGAGCATGGAAGTGAGTGATACATCGCCTCCTTTCACTCAGCTCCTGCTTCCCAGTTCCCGGCCATGCTGTCCGCTCCCAGTGTTTGCCCACTCTGGCGGACGGTTGTAGAAAATAGCCCTTTTGGTGGTTGTGTTGAAATATTTTGGGACCCAGAGGAATGAGGGCCGAGCTAGCCGTCCTCTGTGCAGCTACAACTGGGAGGTGACTTTTATCTTGCCCAGCCAGACCAACACTAAAATATAGACCGCAGTTAGCTGTCCTTGAAGAAAACGGGCTGTGGGTTCTCTGTAACCAGAGCTGGGCGAGTCTGTTCTTTGATGAATCGAGACCCATTCATCAAACGCTGGAGGTGGTCAGCGGAACAGGCTTTGGGGGCCTAAACAGAGATGGCGGTGGCCACGGTGGGAGGGGAAGGGTGCGGTTCTGGCGGCTTGGATTACAGGCTTCCTGCCAGCTGGGCCATGAACTCTCTGTGGCCAGTTTCTTAAGAGAAGGGGTAGGAAGCGAATCCACATTAAGTAAGTCCTCCTTGTATCTAATCAGTCCTGGTGGCAGCCAGAGGAGGCAGCTCAGAGGGGAGGGAAGTGGCACTCAGGGGCGCCCTGGCCCTGTCCCAGCTCCACTCGGGATGTGCGCACAGTTACCTCTTTAGACCCAGAGCAACCGACCAACCAACCAAGAGAAAAGTGACAGGCAGAGATAGATGGATGGGGAGGGCGGTTACTTCTCCAATAAATAAATTGAGTTTCGAAGAAGTTAAATCTTCCCAAAGCATATCCTTTGTGAATAGCACATGGCAGTGTTTGACCGCAGACCTCTGATTTCACTGCCCTGCTCCTTTCACCCCACACCACCATCACCCCAATCTCTCTCTCCATCTCTCTCTTCTCTCTCTCCCTCTCCCTCCCTCCTTCTCTTCTCTCTCCATTTCTCTCTTCCTGTCTCTACCTCTCTCATCCCCTCTTCCTCTTTTCCTCCCTCTCTCCCCATCTCTCTTCATCTCTCTCTTCCTGTCTCTTCCTCTCTCTCCCTCCCTCTACCTTTCTCCCTCTCTTTTCTCCTGCCTTCTCTCCCTCACTCCCTCTTTATTTCCTTCTCTCTTCTCCCTCTCTCTCCCTCTCTCCCTCTGCTTTGCTCTCCCTCTCTCTCCCTCTCTCTCTCTCCCCTCCCCACCCTTCCTCCACTGGGGAGTGGTGCATGGGAACTTGCTTGCATTGCCGCTGCAGCTGGCAAAACGCTCTCCTCCTGGTTGGTGAGAGGACCAGGCAGCTGTGACTGGCTTTTCTCAGCTACCTCTCTGGAAGGTGTTCACTGATTTCCAGGGAGCGCTCTGGAGGAAGAGCACGTATGGGGAGAGAGTGTAGGTGTGGGTTTAGGACAAGGAGTGTCCAGAATTGGGTTTTGCTGTCAACTGCGTACGTGACCGTGGTGACAAGATCTATGCAGGCCATGAAGTGACTGTGTGTCAAAGGGGTCAGCCCCTGAAACTGGCAGCGATGGGTGGGGCTCGGAACCGTGTCCGGTCAGTCCAGCACGTGGGACAGCATGTGTCACCGGGTTAATACCTTCTAGAAGCCAGGCACTCTGCACATGCCGTCGCATCTGCAACTACCCCGTGAGGGAGCACAGCACCCATTTTTAAGAGGAGGAAACTGAGAGCTCCCAAGAGGCTGTGAGTGCTCCCGCCACGCAGTGGGAGGTGGCAGAGCTGAACTGCAGCCGAGGTGAGGACATCCCCCATGAAGCACCATGGCACAGTGGGCAGCAGGACATCTACCACACACTTACACATGACAACATTCCTACACACACACACACACACACACACACACACACACACTCCCCGTCCTCACCCCTAGCAAGAGCAACTACCCACAGAAGGAACAGGCATCCAATCTTGTGACATCAGGCACCACTCAAGTGGTAGGTTACAGTTAAGCCCAATGTAGTCACCAACTTAAGCACACGAGCACACACACACACACACACACACACATACACACAAGCTAACACCATCACTTGCTCCTTTTCTCCCTGCTCCGGATTCCATCACAAGTGCTGGCTGCCTCACGTGGTGGCCGCCTCACGTGGTGGCCGCCTGCACACTGTCCATGGGTTCCTCAGTCCCATGATCGGCAGCCTCCCTCTTGGCCTGGAGACATTTCAGATGGAGGAGCAAGCCCTCGGCGCTACAAGAAAGCAGGAGACCCCCTACCATGTCCGCGGAGAGAGTCCACACCCAGGAGGGCAGGCCGCTTTGATGTCCGCAGAGGGAGTCACGCTGTCTCCCAGCGCCGATATCTAACGCTTCAGAACCATGTCTTCCATGAGACCAAAAGCAAAAAGGAGAAGAAAAATGTTCTCTCTTCATCAGTTTCACAGCCGGATGCTCACCTGGGGCCTGTGAAAACCACTTGAAGCGGTCTGAAGTGGCGCCTGTGGGCTCCCCAGGAGGAGAACACCCAGGGTGTCTGAACCCAGAGGGCTGGTGAGGAGGCCCTTCGGGGCCGGCATTCCTGCCGCAGGTGGAGTTTGCATGATCTCCATCAGGGTTCTTGGACTATTTCATGGTTGTCGCTTTTCAGACCTGAAATAGTTTCTCCTGCTGCCCTGAGGGGCGGGTAGTGCTGGTTGGCCTCCTTGCGCTCACAGGGCCAAAAGCATTTTCCTGCATCACTTTTTAAAATGCTTATTAAACACTAGAGGCCCCATGCATGAAATTTGTGCATGAGGGATGTGTCCCTCAGCCCAGCCTGCACCCTCTCCAATTTGGGGCCCATCAAGGGATGTCTGACTGCTCCTTTAGGCCCCATCCCAATGGGCATGGCTTGTGGGTGTAGCAGAGCGAAGGCTAGTTTGCATATTACTCTTTTATTAGATAGGATGTCATAAAGTAAAGTGAGCAAAATTACTCCTACTTTCCCCCTTAATCTTTGTAACAGCATCATTGCTCTGGAAGGAGGGAAGGGGATGATAGGCAAATTGTCTTTTCTTTTTTTCCCAAGAACAACACATAGAAAAATTCAAAATAACACATACATTCTCAGTATGAAAGGCCCTTTCATTTTTTAAAAAATATTTTATTGATTTTTTTTTTTAACAGAGAAGAAGGGAAAGGGATGGAGAGTTAGAAGCATCGATGGGAGAGAAACATCAGCTGCCTCTCACACACACCCCCACTGGGGATGTGCCTACA